TTCCTCTTTTCACCATGTAATGAGCGAGGTTTAAACATTGCAGTGGGATAAGGCTATTCCCTGCATAGCACTGCTGCTATGCATTATTCGTCGTTGTTGCAACACACTCACGGGAAAGAATATCACATACGCACATACAGATATACACATTTTCACCTCTAACATTTAACGACAAGAGAGAAAACGTCGGGCCGTCTACAGACTCAGATAATTAAACCAGGGGGAAATTATAACAGCTCGCTCTCTCCTCCCCCCTTCTCTATCTCGTTTCTCTCTGTCTCTCTTTCTGTTTTGTTCACTCCCACTCTTACTGCTTGTCAGCAAATCAGTCTGACTGCAGATGAAAATGGAAATCCAAAAAAGGAGAGGGAAGAGAAAAGAGGAGGAAAGTACATGTTGACGGTAGGTGCGCCACAAAGGAAAGACAAAAGTAATATTTTCCATCTATTTACTTCTATCTGTGGTGGTGGGGTTGTAGCACAATAATTCAATTGCTGCTGCGGCAGGTGCGAGGAGTCTCATGCAGCAGACATCGTTAGGCTAATTTATAGTTTTCATTTAGTGTTTTTATCATCTCATTATTGGCCATCATACACATACACGCATACAGACACACACATTCAAACAGACACTGGCACCCCTGAGAGGGTCCAAAAGGTATAATAGTCGTGGTCCTCACCAGCCTTTGTGCTGTGTGTCTCATTAGTGTTTGCAACACAATCAGGCCCTGCTCACCTCCACAGCAGGGCTCTTTGACTTGACTCACACCATGTGCCTCTGGTTGAATGTGTGTGTGTGGGTGGGTGTGTGTGGAGTTAATAGATGTTCAGAGAGCAGCAGGTAGGAGTGTAACTCCTGCTGTGATGTGTTTTACAATTCATATCTGAGCACTGGAGTACTGTAAAATCGCCAACACAAATCAACTGTGATGAGCTGGGGCCTGTTACCCCAACACACATACACACGCGAACACACACACACACACACTTTTAACATTTACCATACGGCACTTGGACACACACACAGCAAAAGCCATTGTCCAGAGAGGAGAGAGAAAGGATGGGAATGGGAGGGGTGTTTCCATGGTGACCAGGGCGACAGAAGGAAGAAGGGGTCTGCCTCCCGACCTTCATTGAGAAGGTGATGACTGTCACTAAGCTGAGGCAAGACAGCCAGTAGTCACAATGCTCGAGACAAGAGTGAGGGAGAGAGCGATCAGCAGCCGTGTACGCCGCCATTGCTGTGGCCCTTGTGAGCTTCAGTGGTCAGTCTGAGGCACTTAGCATTAGCATCAGAAAGACATTATGCTAATAACCTCAAAGGCAGCAGCCCCCGCCTTTGTGTTTTCTGCGCCAACCCAAGGGCACGGGAGGATTTTACATTTCAACTGCCGTTCCAGCCCTAAACTCCCACATCATTTGCATGAAGATAAAATAAAAAATGGGAAAAAATATGGCGCATTACACAAACAGTGGAGTATGGCCAAGGTCCACAACCCACAGGCACAGAGAAGAAAGACTTCAAGGCAGCATGACGGAGGGTAAAACAAGCTAAACTCAGAATACACTAAAGACAGTTAAAGTGAAACCAGAACTTCTGTTCTGAACTTCTGTAATAGAAAGAGCTGGACACTCTCTTTTTATGGGGACAAACAGTGACATTAGGTCATTTATAGGCTCTCTAGTTATTCAGATACAAGCCATATTAGTGTATAGTTAAGTCACACATATGCAAACTGAATTCAGCATTGAATTCATATGTAATTTAAAAGGTTACGGTCTCTCAGCTATAAGCACAAACTAATGGTTAAATTATTGGTTAAAGTGGAGGTAGTTTGCCTTATGATGATGCATGTCATGCTTCAATACCTTTCTTTGACCTCAATTTATGTTTGTATGTAAATTGAATTAACTATTTAGAGGCTGCAAAGGCAACAGATCACCTGATACTACACCAAACACTCCTTCACAATATGATACCTGCAGGATAAAGTCAGCGATGCGGTGCCTTTGTTTTTGAAAAGCAATTTGTTGAGTGTCCCATTTACGCCATGAAATTGGAGATAGGAGGTCTCTTCCAGCAGACAAAATGAAATGTCACAGGGTTGGGCAATTACAGTATTTACTTCAGCCAGCATGTTATATGTTCTCCTGCATTAAAGAACCCTTCAAGCCGATGAGAATGACAAATAACAAAGGGGAAGAGAGTCCACCTCCACATGAATCATTTCAATCAACGCTGCTGACATACTTCTAGCACACCACTGCTCCTCTGGGAATGCAGAGAAAGATGCCACAGAAGAAGACCATTGAAAAATAGGGAAGAGGGTAGCCTAAGTAAGAGAAGAGGGGGTGTCGGGCCTGAGCAAGAAGAGGAGGTGAGTGGAGGGAAGAAAAAGAGGAGAGAGGGAGACACTCAGTCACCTTGGATGAGTCATTCAACACACCTCAGCACATCATACAGAGACATATATGCAGTACAATACTCTCTCCCTCTCCTTCGCCCCTTCCCTGGTTAGTCAAGCATCACGACACACATCCGCACACACAGTCAGAGTGTCACCCTGTGAAAATAAATGTCACGGTGCGCAACCACAAACTGGATAAAAACAGCATTTAATTTATTTTCTCATCTCTTCGAACTGGCTTGTTATTGGATTGAAAGGGTGCCCTTCACCGGCACCGCTATGACTCAATGCATTAAGGAAGTTCGTCATCCACAGACAGAGAAGCCGGGTCAGAAGGTAAAAATAGGCTACAAACGAAGAGCAGAGAAACGGAGGTGGCTGACGGCATCTGAAAAAGGATGCTCGTGGTGCTCAGAGTAAAAGAAAGGAATGTTTGTATCCTTGCTGAAGTACAGGTACTGTGAGGCGATCAAGTACAAGGACGTCTCTCTGCTGACAGAGTCACTGAGTTTCCTGTTTCTTTGGTGCTTATGAGACCAAAGGTGTCGCATGAAGTATCATAAAACATTTAAAAATGCCAATGTACCATTCCCAAATTATACCATTTTAACCATGATTGAAATTTAATTAAGATTTTTTTTTACACACTAATTATTGGACTAATACTTTAAACATATTTAAATAATATTGGTATGAACATGGGAATACAAAAAAAGGTATCTGCATGCTGGAATCAGAGCTCTCTTAAGCCTTAACTGAATATAGCTTTCTTTTGTATTGATTTTCTGTATCTAGCACCTATCCAACAAAAGTGTAGATATGAACTATGTACTCCACAGTAATCATGTTTGCTAATTCTATATTTTACATAAAAAATGTATCCAAACTTCTGAATAGCTTGACATTTTGGGAAATACGCTCATTTACTTCCTTGAATACAGTTAGATGAGAAAATAAACACCACTCTTTTGTCAGTAAATATGCAGCTGCAGCCAGCAGCCATTGCATATCTTAGCACAAAAACTGGAAACAAAGGGAAACAGCTGGTCTGACTCTGTCCAACGGAAACAAAATCCTCTTATACAAACACCTACCTACCAAAGTCTAGAAATGACAAATTGTGGTTTTATGGGGGATTGTGTGCCAGACAATCTTGGCACAGTGGCTTCCTGGAGTTGTAAAACCTCATAAAACCCCGACATGCCAATTTTCTACATTTAAATAAATGAAATGTAACGCATTAATCATTGAGCTTTAGAGGTGTTGGTAGATGGATTTTGATACATTCGAACAAAGCCAGGCTAGCTGTTTCCCTCTGTTTTCATTCTTTGTGCTAAGCTAACTGGCTGTTGGCTGTAGCCTTATAATTATTGTATACACATGAGAGTGGTATCAATTGTCTCATCAAACTCTCTGCAGAGAATAAGTGTATTTCCAAAATTTTCAAAGTAAGATTTTAAAATCTTCTACAGAAATATGTTTAAGCTTTAAGTATAAACCACATGAGAAACAAAAGAAATAGACTGCTCCACCTCCTTCCCCAATAAAAGATGGAAGCTGAGCCTTTATTAAACCATGTCTGACTAAACGAGACGTGTGTTTGGAAATCCTCAGGGAAGAGTGACAGCAAGAGAAGAGGGCTGTCTGCATTACTTGGGTGCATAGATCACAAACCAATAACAGGGCTCATTTCCCTCCTTCTGTCCCAGAGGATGGGCCTCCAGGGTCAGAGGGGCGTGTCGTTGTGGTTAAACCCCAGCAGAAGGAGGCATGTTGGGCCATAACCTGCATGATGATACAGCCCTGTCTGTTTCCAAAGCAACTGAATCCCTCTACATTTTTACATTTATGTGTCTTACATTTTTCTGTGTTCTCATGACTATGTCTAAATTTCTATATTTTGTATATCAACGTGAAGCACATTCAGTTTACTTGTAATGAAATGTGATGTATAAATCAAACCGCCATTGCCGAAATAGACCGCAGAACCACACTTATAAAGGCAGTCTATAGTTACAATGCAAGATGTTCGGGAGGAGACACTTGAACCGAACACGTCACTGATATATCTTCAAGTCCGTGCATGTCATGTCTGCATGTGACCCATTAACACATTTACCCACACTTCAGTTCTTTAACTTTTGAATATCACCTTAATTCATAGGATTATAGAATAATAATTCCAATACAGTTACCATTTTTATGAATATTTTATTATTTGTAATAATCTAAATAGAAATCGTAGCACTTGTTTCAGTAGTTGTCAGTGGTGTTATTCTCCTGTATTTTAGTATTTTCATCCTAAAATATTGCACCCTCTTGAGTATAAGATCAACCTACTGTACATCTAAATAGTTTTTACATAAACATTTCCTCATTTTCTGCTCCATGAATGCTTGAAAAGTATGAAATATTTACTTTAGGTGATCGTATATAATTTTTTTACTACTATACTTTGTACATTAATCACCTTATGTTATGACTAATATTGTAAAATTGAAGCATACAACACTCACAAGTGACCTTTTTGATTAAATCTTTTGCCAAAAATATTTTCTTTTCATGATTGTAACGAAACACACAACAACACAGCATCAGTCCAACACGGATCATTTAATAACAAAAAAATTATAATACAAACAAGTTACAAATAAAGAGTGGACTCATTTCTGACCATGTCAAGTGATCAGGCACAGAATTACCACCAAATAACATTTGCATTCGATAACCGTGGCCTTTAGAAACCTGAGCTTGATACAAAATGTCATGAACTGTGTGGTACAAATGTATGTTGAACAATGATTAGGAAGCATTACAAAAGGTAGAGAGTGAGAGTATAAATATACTGTATGTACAACTGATGGAGTAAACTCCTTAATGCAAAATCCGACAGGTGCCTTGCAGCTCTTGAACATTTTCTTCTGTACAGTTGGGAGTTGTAGAAATTGCTTCTGTTGCTAACTCAGTGCCGATGCATCAGCAGGGACATTAGAAACAAATGTGTCTCTTGGCACTATAACAACACAACGCAGAACACTTTTTGTTTCTTCTCTCTACTTCTCCCATATACTGATTTGTATTTCTTTAAATTAAGTTTAAACGTGGAGAAGGAGGATTGGCTGAGTCAGAGTGCTGAGCAGAAATAACACCTTCTCCCTCAGGGCACTGGTCAGCAACAGTATCATAGTATATGCAAAGAACTAATAATGGGTTATTATCTTATTCTGCTGGCAACCACAGAGGATCCTGCTTGGTCACACTCCATTCAGGCTTTCACTTCAGGGGTCACAGGCTGAAGGTCTGGGGTCATGGCGCAGCAGTCACTAGGAGGGGGCATCTTCACCATGTATAGCCTTATACTTGGACATCTCCTCTGGAAAGACTTTGCTGAGCTCGGAGATCAGAAGGCTCTTAAATTTCTGTGACAAACAGCAGAGGTGGGTTTATTACTGAAATATAACGGATTTTAATTTTATGTTCAAGATAAATAAAAGTTATGTATGTTTATTCTAAGGAAATAGTAGCTGACCAGTACAGTCTGCCTTGTGGCCATTTACATCACCAAATAACAAAGAAATGTTAGACACAACTGAACATAGAGAAAAATAGATCAAGCAGAACTTCTACTGAACCATGAAAAAAAAAAAAAAGATTTAATCCAATTAATTTATCATCAAGAGCAAGGCCACTTCAACAGAGATGGCTGTCTCCAGTATGTGGCTCTTTGTATATTGAAGATGATCCTTGAAAGGGGCATTTTTGTTGTTGTAGGAATTTGTAAATATGCTTGGGAGCACTTAATCAGTGAAACAATTTGTTGGCTCTGTTTATTCTTGCAGTGTCATTGGTGGAGAATCTCAGTGACCCTGGCCTTATCTCTTACCGTCATGGTGTCAATCTTCCCTTTGACCTGCTCGTTCCTCGCCAAGGCTCTCTCCAGACATTCCTTGGTGTACAGCTGAGGGTTTCGACCTTGGTCAATGTATCTACAAACACATGGCATAACATCAGTAGAGGGAAATGTGATGAAGCACAGGTGATGAATTAGATATTCCTTTAGCTAACTTGTCTTGATTAAAGCTTTGCTTCCTGGCACAAAATACATTTCTTAGACCTCATTTTCTAAATAATCAACAACAAAAGAGTGAACAATTTCTTCAAGTTGAAAATGTTATGTTTATAGTAGTAGAGTATGCCGAGTTTTGAAGTGGCTCTCAACAATCCAGAAAAAAAAAAGTTAAAAAACCTATGTCAAATTACCAGATTGCGGACAAGGAATGATACTCTAAAATCGTCAGAATTTCAAATGGGGTTTGGCGTGGCAAAGCGATATGTTCTCTCCACACAACAGTAGGCTGGAATCACGGCAATGCAGCAATGTTTGAGAACAGCAGATACGTAAAGAAAAAACGCCTATTTTATGGGTTATAGAACCGGACAGGCAGAACCACACAGCCTAGCAGCTGGACTCACTCAAAGACCTCCAGCGGTACGTTGATCTCATGAAGCTGTTGACGGCATTTCTCGATGTCTTGCAGTCCAGATATCATGAAATTTCTAAAAGGAAAATGAGCAGAACAGGTGAATATAATGCTTATTTGCAGACTCGTACCATAATAACGTTCTCAGTGATACACGACTCACAGTTTTTGGTTGAGTCCTGCTTGGCTGCTAGGCTGGAAGTCGCTAACGATGATTCCCAACTGTCGAATGTTCTCGATAAACTTCTCCAGGTGCTCCTCCAGGTTATCAAATTTTTCAGCCATCTTAATAAACTATTACTAAACCACTAGATATACATAGAAAGTACTATATTTAGAAGAATCCTTTTGTCAAATACCCGCTGTTTACAGCTAGCCTCCGACTCTACGACGGTCACAACGCCGAACTGCTTTACGGCAATAAAATAGCCAATCGCTGTTGGTAATGTTCCGTTACCTAGGTATCAACCAATGACAGATGGTCGTTAACTGACGCTGAAAGCATGAAAGTGTCGTGCTGCCAGTTAGGAAGAAGCGTCTTTGTCAAGACCATATAATGATTTGAGTTAATAACTGCAGAGGAACGCTGACTTTACTACATCTAAATCAGCACTATAAATTTATTTATTTAGATTATATTTAGAAGATGTATCATTTAAGTTGGAAATGTGTGCAAATATGGGGGTATTTATCAAGCTTTTATTATTAAGGACACACACCCGGTCCAAAAGACAGACAATGAAAAACTTAAACAGACAAACACTAAAGTACAAAGGAAAAAACATACAGTCCACAATTAATAAAAACGCAGGCTAAAAGAAGTGTTGTTCAAAGCCAGCACGGCTCCAGAAGATATTGTATTGTTATGCATTACTATGTGTGTCTAAATGCATAGACAGCGCAGTATTACTTACAGCGCAGTATTACTTACAGTATTTACAATTAGGCTATGTTAGGGATCATTTCAAAGACAATTCAGGAATATGTCTAATAGGCTACCCCCTGGAAATGTTCTGCTGCAATTCAACTCTACATTCAAAAGCATATGAAGGAAAACTTAAGATGTGTGAAATAAAGTTTGCCCCTATAAAATCCTAATGGCCCATGGTTGTAGGCTACTACTACAGGAAATTATGGGTTGATGACTGTAGTTAACCGTGCTGTTTAAAATTTTAAACACAATCAGTAATCAAGGAAAATGGCTCAAAATAGCCTGTAACCTATTCTCCAACTAACCTCTATAATAATGCAGAGCTCTGCTCACAGTAGGCTACGTGTATGGTAACGTGTAGGCTAGTCTGTGTAAGTAGGCTACTAACTGCATCGTGATAAATGGGAGACTGAAAGTGAAAGTTGGTGACGCTGACATTACAACTCTGGCATTTAACCATAACCTGTATTCTTTCAGGTGAACACGGGAACACCAAGTTACACAGAATTGGTCAGAATAAACCAGGAAATAAACCATAAGCCTTCAAAATAAAAGCAACGTCATATTAACAGATATGGCACCTTGCACAGGATGATGTAGTCCCTAAATCTAAATAGCCTATGAAGTACAACAACGTTTTATGTGTGGAATAGACTTTTACCACCGTTTCTGGCCTTAAATAGATGTTATCAAGATACAGTCACTGTAGATAGAAAATGATGCTATTTTTAAAATGTGTATCTTATAGACCACTGTGGCATTGCTCTTCATAGCCTATCTCCAGTTCGTTCTTGGTGCATTGGAATCATCGTTGTGCCTTTTGTGCTATAAGCTATTCATGTTGTTCTTCATTTCACACCCAATAGTTATTGAGCTGATGTTACATTAAAGATATAGGTGGGTCAGTGAGGTTTTTTTTTTTTTTTTTTTTTGGAAAAGGCAACAAGCCTAACTCAAAGTTAGTGGATTTGTTATGGTCCTTTTTGTTTACAGCAACCGGAATATGTCAATGCTGGAATTATCATATTTCTCCATAAATGTAACCATTTTAGAAGCTTGCTCGGTGCCCTGAACGTAAACCAACTGCTGGTCTTTTATTTTGAAATGGCGCAGCCGCCGCAGCGTTTCACCGGTGAGAACAGCCTGGCTGAAGAAGGATTACCGGGGGCTGGTTTGTCCTGGGCTGCATTAAAGCTGGAGCCGCCGCAACTGCAAGCACATCAAAGGCTCTCCTTCTGCTCCTCACTGCTGCTCCCACTGACGGCAGGCCTACTGGATGGTGGAATCATTTCTTCTTTTTACGCACAGCGGGATCGGTGTCCGGTCCGCAGGACGAGACATAAACGGACATTTACTATTCCGAATTTCACCCGTCTACGGTAAGCACGGGCTGCTGTCTGACCGCAGGTCTAATATTGGCGTGTATGTGGGCGGGAGAACACGGAAAATGTATGATATTCTCATGATAAGCACTTATGTGGATGCATAGTCATATTGTTATTTCATCGGGCATTATGATATTTTAATTCTTTATAATAATATATTCCATATTGTTTTACAACAGTATGTCGTGTATAGGCTATATATCCTTTCAGTTTATAGTAACCTTAGTAATATGTTTCTTATCTCCTCTTTTTAATCTCCCATAGCCTATGTTTCTATATTATGTCCTATAGGAGTCTAGTGTGTCTCTCGTCCATTTGTTATAACAACCATGAGATGCATTATGGTGCTTTTTCCTCCTATATTGTTTCTTCTGGTAGCCTGTGGTTCCTTCTATGATTCCTGTAGCCATAGATGTCCCTGTATCCCGGTATGCACCCTTCTGTTAAAATGTATTATAAGATCACCTCAGTGCCTCTGCGTAATGCATCGTCCTATCATTGAACAACTGCAGTCACAGTCATGATGTCTGTCCACTTTTTGGGGGACACAAGACTGACTTCCATTGATCTGTTTTGACGAAGCAGTTTAATTTTGGTCTGTATGCGAAAATCCATGTACACTGGCATTTATTTGTTGTTTTACTTCCTTTTCCTTAGTCGAGCCGTGTCGAGATGATGCACTGAGGAGAACACAGCACAGGCTCCCCGGTTGATCATCCTGAGGCTGCAGTGAACGGAGGGGGGATTGCGGTACAACAAGGTTAATAATCAGCATCAATACAGGTCTTCTCTGTGATCGGGAGCCGACTTCACAGAGCGATTCTTGCCCCTGTGCGGGGGGTCGGCGGAGAAATATAGATCTATAAAAATTATGGCCACCCTACTGCGGAAGATCGGTCTGATCCGCCTGCACGACCGAGACACCGAGGACCCAAAGCACCACCAGGGCTCGTTAAAGGGGACCAAAGGGAACCAGAAAAACAACGCCAACAAACACTGTCAGACCGCGAACGAAACCAACATCCTGAGCACCCCGGAGATTAAGGCGAGGAAGCTGGACCAGCACGGCAAGGACAAGCCGTCCGGCAAGGATAAGCAGGGCAAGGATGCGAAGGAGAAGCAGCAGACGGGAGGAGGCGGGAGTAAAGCGACCAGTGCCTCCTCGATACCACCGCTGGCGCCACACCGGCAACACTGCACCCAGGTCCGGACGCGGAGGCTGATGAAGGAGCTACAGGAGATCAGGAGGTTAGGGGACAACTTCATCACGGTGGAGCTGGTGGAGGACAACCTGTATGACTGGAACGTCAAGCTGCACCAGGTGGACAAGGACTCGGCGCTGTGGCAGGACATGAAGGAGACCAGCACCGAGTTCATACTGCTCAACGTCACCTTTCCCGACAATTTCCCCTTCTCGCCGCCGTTCATGCGGGTCCTGACGCCCCGATTGGAGAACGGCTACGTGCTGGACGGCGGGGCCATATGCATGGAGCTGTTGACCCCCCGCGGATGGTCCAGCGCCTACACGGTGGAGGCGGTCATGCGGCAGTTCGCGGCCAGCCTCGTAAAAGGACAGGTGAGGGGAGGAGGGGCTGGCGGGTGAGGGGGCCTGCATGGGATATCATCAACCATACGGCATGTTAATCGTCTCTGGTACATTTTTTTTTCAGCCATGACAAGCACTGGGTATGAGCAGTTCCATTAGGCAAGCGTGCCTCATGCGTAATTAACGCGTAATAATGCTTCTACGTACGTACAACATATGCACACCATGGCGGGTGTTTAGTCTAATATGAATGTTTTAACAAGTTTTTTGTTTAATACAATTGAAAAAATATGAAAATGTCTTTTTGGTCATTTCCAATGAAAAGCATGAATCAATGAAATGTCATTTGTGGGCACCAATGGAGTGACCGCTCATGTCGCCATGTTAACAGGAAAATCATGAATGAGCAAATGATCCCGATTGGGAGATAGTTTTACTTTTTTTTTTTTAAGGAAAAATATCATTGCAGGACAACGGTACTCAGTAAAAGTGATGTTTTTGCTATTAATAGCATTTTATGTGCTCAGTGTGAGCTATATGTGCTGTATATCACGGGCCTAGTCTCCTCATTCCCCCCTCCTCTCTGCTACCAGCAAAGCCATGATTGTGAATATTACTAATCTTTATGTGACTTTTACAGCAGCCATTTCATGCAGTGCAACCCCCAGTATCTCGTTGATGCCAGCCCCTCTCTGCAGTCCTCTTTTATTCTTATTCTCTTTTATTGCCTTGCATCCTTTGATAACAAAGGCCTGCTGCCCTGCAATGGAAGAGTCCCCATTCAGGCTCAAATGCATCCCTTGCGAAATCTGTACTGCTATCAGATTATTCTACATAAGGATTCTACAGAATAAGACAATAATTCAACATGTGTGATGTGGGGATAGAAAGGCAGATGAATAAATAGAGACAGCAGGTAGCCCATACCTACCAGCAGTCCTCAGTGACTTACACTGACTGGATTATATAATCCTGTCAAATCTGTTTTTCACATCCTCAGTGCACTGCAGCAGCAGCAGCGGCGGCGGCTCTGCAATTCCGATGGAATTGGCTGCATCTCCAAATGCACTCCAGGCTATAATCGTTTAAACTCTGAATAGATTGTCTGTTTTCCATCCAGATAAGAATCAGTGTTTTTTCCAATATATTTTCAAATGCCTATTTTTGTGTCATATTCCCGTCCAGTCTGCTTCTTTCTCCTCTCTGGCTCTCTGTCTTTTGACGTCAGCAGTATGACAGTGCTGTGACAGGAAGCCTTATGTAAACTGTCACTGGATTCTCCTGCCCAACCCCCAATGCTTAGTGCTTTTTTTGTCTTTGATGATATAATGGAACATTATTCCTGAGTCATCTGGTCATTAAGCATCTGTTACCAAGAGAGGTCATGCAAAAAACTATACCCACAGCGTAGAGACAGAGAGATAGGAAAGTGTGTGTGTGTGTGTTCATCTTGATTTGCTGCTTGAGGAGATGAGCTTACAGCTCCGCAGTGCTCCCTAATTATGGTGCAGTGTCTTCCTTCTCCAGTTTGCTAATGGAAACAATATTGATTAATTATCACTGTGTGTGTGTGTGTGTGTGTGTGTGTGTGTGTGCAAACACACACAGACTGAGTGCTCTTGTCGGCAGTGAACTGTGGTCTGTGTCGTTATCTGTTTTGCAGCACACACCTCAAACTATCCAATTGAAGGAGTTTGTGTGTGTGTGTGTGTGTGTGTGTGTGTGTGCGTGCGCATCTCTTTACCTCTTTGTTTGCCTTTTCTCTGAATATGTAGCGCACGCAGGCCCTGGCATGTGTTTCATGTCCTAATTTTCCAGTAGAAGTGTTCTTCTCTCATGCACCATGACAAACACAGCACACAGAACTATATATAAACCTTCGTTCGCCGAAAATATTTATCCGTCCTTGGGCACCGGTTAACTGTGACAATAGAGATGTGGCTTGTTTAGAATCTCCCTCCCTATTTTTAGTGTGAAAGGATACATGCAGTGACAAAGTGGTGAGGTGAAAGTCAACACAGCCACATGTGTCTTCACCTGCAGATGGGAGCACACACACACAATCACACAAGCTGAGATGAGGTGACATTTTAGGAGGTTTGACTGAACTTGAGGCATTAACTAAAAAAAATAATAGACTGGCCGTCTGATACTTAACTTCCCATTTTAAGATGATCACTGTCACGGGGTTATCTAGATTATATGACAGTGAGTTAAGCCATTGCTCTGCAGGTGGTAGAAAAAGGTTGTCTAGTGTGGGACAACTCAGTCTCAAGTTTGATATGGTGTCTGTGTGGTGTGAGCCACTGTGGTCATTGATCTGTAATACTGTATTGTTGTCTGTACAGCAGTGTTTACACTAGTACACTAGTGTCATCTAGAATAATAGTCCATCACAGGCTATAACGCATTCTCTTCTTCACAATTTGCACTGCAGGCACATCTGATTAGATTACTTAGCAAACATTTCTTCACTATTCATATCTTTAAAATAAAAAAAGAATTCCCACACACTGCCAGTCACTTATACAGACACATTTCACTTTTCACACCTTATCACGTAGTTAAGCTCTGTTGTCATTGTTAGCTGTTCATTATTCATTTGAACTTGAACAGGCTATGTTGGAGAAACTAGCAAGAGACAGCTAGATTTTGAAAGTACCCAACATTTTGTTTTTTTCATTTTATTTATTGATTGCTGTCGGGGTGTAAAGAACATTTCAACAAATATAAAGAAAAGTGCTTCTGAAATAAATTGCCTACCCTACCTTTAAATGTTGGAATGAGCAGATATAAAGTGCTAAAAACGCCGCCCAAAGTATGAAATTGTAACATAAGTTGCAGGGCGACAACAATTTTAATAAGCGATTAATCCTTTTAAGTGTTGCTTTGCTTATAAGAAAAAATGGACATTTGCTGATCAAACCTTTTCAAATTTAATAATGTGCTGCTTTTGTCCAATTGAAAATGGAATACATTTGGATTTTGGAGTGAAATCCAGTAAAAACAAGCATTTTAAAGACATCTTGGGTTCTAGAAACTCAATGAAACTCAATGAAACTAAATGATCAATTCAATATGAAAAATACAAGTAGATAATGGAAATAATAGTCAGTTGCAGTCATGGATATGAACATTTAAAATAAGGATAAAACATGACCAAACCAAATTAAAGTAGGGTATTCCTGCAATCAGTATGTCACTTCACAAGAAACTGAGATATCCTGAGTTTTAGTCCTGAGTATGGGTTAAGCCCCTAGACTGGACTGGATCCTACATTTCCCATAATGCAAGTGGATAGTGTCCTTCATTAGACCCCTAATGCCCACTTCTCTGAAGACCCACAACTCCAGTTTGTAATGCAGACTTTCTGTTAAAAACATGTAGTCTCCAGGCCCTAGCCTAGAAAACCCCTGATGACATCATCAGGGTTATTTTTTCAAACACTGGAAAGTTCCTTCAGAGCCACAGAGGACGAGTAAATTAAACTCAGTGTGTGAAACCAGTCCCTGTAAAGTTTTCTGTGGTTGTTCTATTGAAGTTCACTTTTATACCGTACAAGGATGAAAGACAGCAAAGTGTTATGCTGACTGTGTGCAGTCAGGGGACACTTGAGCCTATTACCCTTAAATGACCCCGTCATCAGTCCTGTGGGGCTCTCCTTAATGATCTGATGAGGATGATGATGACTTTGATCTCTATTTGTTTATCCCGACCCCTCTAAGCACATGTCTGCGTTATGCAATCCCCACCGCCGCCAGAGCTGCTTCCCAGCATGCACTGGGGCCTTCACTGCTCTGCCCATTGACTGATCTTCATTCACACGATTACCCAGCAGCCACTTTGCACGAGTGTGTACCTCTCGACGAGCAGGCGCTTAACTCAAATAGATAAACACTGACATGGCACTGTATAGGCCCCGGGTGCTCACTCAGCTGAACCGCAACACGCACACTCACACGCATGCACACCGATGCACACACTCTTTTATTTCTCTCACGAGTAGATATTTTTACTTTCCCTCCGTCCATCTTTGGATGCGTCAAACAGAGCCATTCTTGTGGATGACCCCGAACACAGTGGCGCTAATTAATGCTCAATTTCCCCCTTTCATGCTGAAGTCATAGACTTTTGTGTAGATGTGTGCATCAATGCACACATTCACAAGCATTATAATCACTCTCTCATTCACACACTCTCTTCCTCCCTCCTCCTATCTTACTCCGTTTCAGGTCTATGTTTCTTTGTCTGACTCTCACACACACACAGGCACTGTTTTCAGTGTAGGCGTATGCAAATAGTCCATCTAATTTGTCTACACACGCACACATGCTGCCCAATGTTCTCCTCAGTGGAAACAAGAGAAATTGATAGCTACTGTGCGTAAAGCAAGTACATGAAGCTCACAGTGATTGGTTTAACAAGCCGAGGGTACGTTCCTCATTGATACCCAACTGCCATAATGATATCCATCCAAAGGCAGCGGCCGCCATTTTGAGGTGGTGACAGCAACCAGATGGCGTGATGTGAAGAGACGTGAGGTTATGAAGAGAACAACATATCCAGGCTTTTCACCAATGCTCTCTGACAGTAGCCAACCGGTGCATTATCTGTGTTTGTCAGCTTGGGTAATCTGTATTACAGGCCTCTGGCAGCACAGTGAGGCAGAATAGGTTTCAGGCAGCGCTGCTTAGATGACGCCCAGCTGGTTTGTTTTACATTTTAAAAGGCTGTGTGGATCAGGTTTTTGAGACAAGAGGAAGTTGTCTTTTAATGTGTTTTAGTAAAGTAGAGGAACAGAAAGCAAGTCCCAAAGGAACACTGCATGTAACATCTGATTGAGGCACTCATTACTGAGTCATGTATGGAGTTTTTCAAAACAAGTGAAAAACCCCGCCAATGTAGGGAAACTTTTCTGATTTCCAGCGCAAATCAACTTCCAGCTTCATTGTCTTCATACTAGGTTGGAGATTCGCCAGATCCGACCTTGTTTCAATTGTCTGTCTTCATTGGAAGTGTCTCATGTGTCAAACTCAGCATGAGATTAAATGACCTGTCATGGCAGACATTTATAGCAGGGATTGATTTCAATATTGATTAAAATACAAGCCGAAAAAATAGGACACGCTCTTCAAAGTGTTTATGCACTTGAGCGAGAGACGCGGAGGGAAATTGAGAGTGTGAGTGTTGCTAAGCCCTGCAGTGAAATGAGGCCAGTGTTGCTATAGGAATGGAAACTGTAACCCTAATCTCCAGATCATTCAGTGTTATCACCTCATCTCCCTTTAATCCCCTGCATCACTTTTGACCCAAAATAGCCCAGCAAGTACGCAATACGACACAGTGATCATCCATCAGATGTCACAGGAGCAGAGAATTAGTTTTGGACAGTGTTAGGTAAAATCCACTTCTTGTTCACCAATGCTTTTCTTGGGCTAATGTTGTGGCGCATTATTGGCTGATAAACTGTGATGTTTCATCTAAATGTTGTATTTGGGCTCTTCTTTCTCTGTGTTGAGACAAAAGTATTTAGTAAAATAAATGCTGTGAGTTGCTATCTTTTGGACCCAGGAGTCAGCCAGTGTTTTCCGGGGACACAAATGTCCAACGCATGCTGCAAAAATACCCCTGCTCAGTCCCAGTGATACAACAACCATTGTTAACCAGAGAGAAAAAAAAGAACAAAAGGGATGAAAAACTGAAAAGGGACAATACGGGAAATCCCACAACTCTATATCTTTAAATAAGCAACTGAGAGTTTGCTAATCTTATTGTAATAAGCCTGCATGGTAATTCCTCAAACCAAAACCTTAAAAAATTCCATCAAGGATGGATTTGTATTTAAAACAAAATCAAAGTTAAATCAAAATGGATTAGCATAATTAGCACTGATACACACTAGTAACTCATCCATTTTGTTTTTCACTTGCTTTAAAGAGCTGGTTCACCCACATTACAGAAGAAACACATCTACCACGACCCCCCTAAAATTGAGGTGAATTGTAAAAATTCAAAAGCATTCTTTAACCTTTAAAAAATAAATATAAGGTGTTAATTAGTGAGATTTAGAGGTGCAGGTAGGTGTGGTATATTACCTTTGAGCAGACCCAGGCTAGAAGTTCCCCCCCTTTCCAGTCCTTATCCTAAGCTAAGCTAACAATGCTGTAGCTTTATATTTACCATACACACAGATATGAGAGTAGTATCCATCTTCTCATTTAACGTTCGGCAAGAAGTTAAATAAGCACATGTATTTATGTGCAGCATGCAGAGGAGCTCACCATCTAAAAGAATTTCATTAGTATTGGTTTTGGTGGAGCTGCGTGCAATTTTCTCCCTGCCTGGAAACATTCTGGGTAGAGGGGAGGTGGTGCAGTGTTACAGAGCATGTACAAACAAATACACTAAAGTACCTTACACAGCAGCAGGCTAGTGTGTAGTGAGTCAGCTACAACATAGACTTCAGTAAAGCTGCGGTACAACCAGTGGACCGAGATTTACTGTGAAGTCAAACCTGTTGGTCACGACCTTCCATTTGTGATGTTTCTGTGTTTCGGAAGTGATTTTTATATACAAAATGATGCACTTCAAACTGTAGTGACATTCATATGAATCACACCTTTGTCATGGCTGGGTATCTATCTGAGTGTTCACTGTGAAGACAGTTGTTTCTTTTTCTATTCATGCTCCCACGCACTCTTCTTCAGGGAAGACTTAGCACCACTGCCAACAACAGAATAAGCAGCTTTATCATCACTGGCAACGCCCACCCCTCTTCTCTTCATTTTCTTTGCCCACACAGACTTATTATTAGCCCCAGTGTGTGAAGGCGGGAGGGCTTTAGCAAGGTGGTGCCTGGGTGAAAATGTCTCTGTGGGATGTCAGGGTGTGAGATGCTTTTCACACTGAGCACAAGATGGCTACATGCTTGTATATTTATTTTCTGTCATATTTACAACCTTTTCATCATTTAGTGCAGTGGCTGGTTTGGGGCTTCACTTATCTCCCAATTGGCCAGTGTAGTGGAGGATATATTTTCACCTCTGATTGAACCTGACATCTTAAAAGCCCTTTCCCTGCCTTTAAACATTGATCTAATGTTGGTCAACCTGCATCCAGACCACTTGTCCTGTCAACATCTCCCTAGCGGCAGTGCATTCACCATTGAGTTCATCCATGTGCACATGTGGGCTGTGTCTCAAACAGCTTTTCCAGGATGAGCTTGACATGGCTACTGACAATCGTGAACAAGAGAACCATCTTTCAATATAATGATTATTTTCCAGTGTTTTGACTTTTATATGACAGTAAACTGAATATCTGTGGGGTTTTGGAAATTGGATATTTGTAGATGGCATTTAGGTAATAAGGATTTTTCACCAGTTTCTGACACTTTACAGGCCAAAAAATTGTGGATTTATCAAGAAAATAATTGAGACATCCCCTAAAGATTTGCCATATAGTGGCTCTAAATTTAAAGTGGAATTGATTTTGCAGCTATGCAAACTCAACCATATGACTTGGATGGAAGCTTCTATCTTAGTTATGGCTAAACAAAGCATTATTCCTATATTTAGATTATTGCCAACATCTAATCAGTTGACCTGTTTGTCCATCCAATTATGTAAAAATTCATTCACAATTTGGAGGTTTCCTTCTGACAGACAGCCACTGTGTAAAAATGGCTTCTGTGGCAGACATTGTACTTTTATGCTGGGCTGTAGCAAGGCATTTAGAAATACCATTAGTCCAACTTCCTCTACATTTCCACATTATAATTATTTACTTGTTCAGTTATATTTTCTCCAAATGCTATCTACTTGCATTACGGCTAAATCTCCCAGCTGCCAAAACTATAGAAACGGGAAGTTACAGCTAGCGTTGCTCTGAATCTGCTACTAGTACCTCTATAGCTCACTATGTTATATCTGGTTTGTTCAATTTGTATATAAACCAAAGTGTACAAATGAAACATACTAACAAAACACACCATATGCAAGATGTTTGTAGAATGTAAACTCCTCTCCTCTTTAAAACCCCCAAATCCCCAGAAACATGAAAGACCTTGGTGTCCTTAATGTTAGCTACGCCTCTGTCATGGTGTCCTCTGTGTAATTAAGAGGAGATGAGATGAGGGAATACTGATGTTTTTTTTTAAACATCTGTGTGACATGCAGACCCCGCAAAGAATCCTGGAAGATTTAAGGAATGAGTCAATTCGTTATTGTCCCATTAGCGGACAAGTTGGATAGCTTCTGTATTTCCACACAATCCTATCCTCATTTCCCTCCTTTCTCTCTGTGTCTTTGTCTTTCCTCACAGGGGCGTATATGTAGGAAATCAGGGAAGTCCAAGAAAGCGTTCAGCCGCAAGGAAGCCGAGGCCACCTTCAAGTCCCTGGTGAAGACCCACGAGAAGTATGGCTGGGTGTCCCCGCCCGTGTCCGACGGCTGAGTGCCCGGCCTCCGACCCTCCGACACCCGCGCTAGCCGGACAAAACCCAGCTAGCCCCGACACGCAAAACGACACACCACGCTAACTCAACTATCTCTCATCTTCACCTTTCGCTGTTTCATTCAAGAGTTTTTTTTCCTTTTCAGTTTTGTGTGTCTGTGTTGTTATTTCTTGACAATTTTTTGTCCTCATTTCCGCCGAAAACTCTCGGAGAGCAGACACGCCATCACGATGTCACTACTCCACCAAGAAAGCGACTTTCGTTCCCCTCCCTCTCACCCAGGGGGGTTCTTTCCCCTATTTCGGAAAGACCTGAGAGGGAGGTGTGTGTGTGTGTGTGTGTGTGTCTGTGTGTGTGTGTGTGTGTGTAGATGTTTGTCACTCCATTGAACATCAGCTGGGAGTGTGTGCACGTGCATCGGAGTGTGCGTTACTGTTGGTGGATTTCTTTTTTCTTTTTTTAACGCACACCCATGCACGTGCAGTTGGATAAATCGGACAGTGGGGACTGTTCCACCCATGTGAAAGACTACTGAATGAAGGAGACTCATCCCCCTTTTCTTGTGCCCGCAATCCCACCCTCTCCTCTCTCTCCACCCCTCGCTCCCTTCTTCTCTTTAGCACTGAACTGGCGTCACTTCCCACCGTCTCTCTCTGTAGCTGTCGGGTCATTTACATATAAATGAAGCTGTTAATGTTTAATAGACGGGCAGCGCACTGGCGTTTATGCTCACTCATTCAATCCTTCATTTCCCATTTCTTTCGACTGTGCCGTTGCTCACAGTTCAATGCAACATGAAGATTGTATTTTACATGGAGCTGTGCTCTCTCTCTCTCTCTCTCTTTATTTCGCTCGCTCGTTCACTTTGTTTCTCTCTGTTTCTCTTTGTTTCTCGCCATCTCTTGTGGCTAAATTTAGAGCTCACTGTTGCATCGATGGATATTAATTTCTAATGGAGAAATTAGTCACATGTTGCTGTATGCAGAGACTATGTATGATAAATAGATTGACAGTCAATCACCTCTTTTTCTCTCTCTACTCTCATGTTATTGTGTGTGTGTGTGTGTGTGTGTGTGTGTGTGTGTGTGTGTGTGTGTGTGTGTGTGTGTGTGTGCTGCAGAAGAGGAAGACTGTAATTTCCCATGATTTAGATACCAGATGGTACAGCTGAAGGCCAGGCCTCAGTATGTGTGTGTGTGTGTGTGTGTGTGAGCAAGGGAGACTACCCTTTAAACAGAGAATATGATTTACTGTGAATGACACTAAGGCCTAAAGGGAGTGCTGTTTATTTGTTAAATTACTCGTCGCCGTCTTGTTCCACTTTCTATGTCCGCTCCTGATTAATACTACTGTAAACGTGTGTGGTTGTGACTGAATACCTGCGTGCACATAGCCTCGTCTGTCTCTCTCCGATCAATGTAAAGAACTAAAGGTCAGCAGAATATACACTTCGGACGCACACACAAGCACGCCCACACATCCACACACAACACACACACACACACTCGCTCGCACACCTGCGGCCTTGACGGCTGCGGTAACACTAAGGAATGAAGACAGACAGGGGCTCGAGCACCGCCATGGATGGAGTGGTGCTTTAAATGAGCGTACGCTTCAGAGCCCGCCTGATTGATGTCTGCTGAAAGAGGGAGAGGGAGAAGACGAAGAACAGAGGGAGAGGAGGGAAGCTTTGATCAGTACCGGCTGCTTCTCAGAAATGTCAGGTGGCTCACAAAATGGCCGAAGACAGATATCATTTGCGCTACCCGTTGTGATTACTTAAGAGACACACAGTTCCTGAGTTCCAACCTTTAAAAGGACGTGTCTAATATTAGCTCTGCGGCTGCAGCAACGTCGGTCTCAATCAACCCAGGCTCCTACTAGCCACAGACTGCCCATCCGTCCAGTCCAGTGTGCTCCTTGTATGTTTGTTTTGCTATCTGCCAGTTAAATGTCAGAGGGAAAGCTGCTAATTGGTCTGACATTTCAGCAGAGCGTCATTAGAGAAGAGCAGCTGAGAGCAGAAGGATAGAGGATGTCAAACCTCCCGCTCTGCGCTGACATTTTGTCACTGTGTGTTTTTTTTTGAGGGGGAGGATGGGGGTGTAGGGAGGGCAGACAGTGGGTTAGGTGAGGAGAGACAGGAGCATATAGCTCAGTGCCAGTCAGCTCTCAGCCCAGCCGTAATCCTGGAGCAGGATGTTCAAACCGCTGAGCTGAAGCCATTGAGCTGAAGCTGCCAGCACGCAGCGTTTGGACCAGGCCGCGCCGCGTTTGAAAGCCCGCCTTGTGTTGCGTTTGTGGTCGATGACAAATGTCCGCCTGTGTGTTTGTGTGAGTGCATGCGTGTGTTACACTCCCATTATGAAAAAAAATAGGCAAAAGACAAACAACAACAAAAAAAAATGACAAAACACCATCTGGTATGTGATCATGTACGAAAGCGTGTTAGTCCTCTTTGAATTCGGCTAGTCATTTCAGGGTCGATCGTTTAGTGATCTCTTGGCTTGTCAGCGGAGAAAACTGTAAACTGAATTATTATTAAGACAAAATATCTCAAAAGCTGAGTGTTTGCTGGTTTCAAGAGAACAATTTTGTGATATAGTTTAGATTGGTAGTTTGCAGACACTAACTGGGTGAACTGATTATGTTGTATTATATCTGCATGTGATATGTGATTGGTAGCTAGCTACTGTATATCTTTTTTCAAGAAAAGCAAGAAAAAAATACGGGGGGTGGGAACAAAAATGCAAATGCTTCTCTTTTCTTTTTCTTTTTTTGGGTTCTGTACTGTATGTATATTTTCTTTCTTTCTAAGCGTCCTAAAAATGTCACATTGTGTTATATGAATGTTTGTGTTTTAATTTATTTGTGGTTTGCCAAAATGAAGATTTGAAGCATGTTGCAGTTATTGTCACAAGAACATGAGAAGAAAAAAAAAATCATACAAAGAATGATAGCCTATGTATTTGTGCGATGGGGGAAGGTGTGTTTATTTGGGGGGGATTTCAGGGAGTCAAGAAGGACAGAAGGTTGGAAAGCCTCAACATTATAAAGGGAGTATTTCCTTCATTGGGAGTGCATCAAAGTGGAATCAAGAAAATTCCTACACTCCCATGAATACTTCTTAGTCCCCTCCATGATGTCACTACTGTCCCTTCCCCATTGGTCCTGCTCTAGACAGTGAATTGGCTTATGGGCAATGCAGTCAACACAACGATCTGGACTAAAAGTTCCCCCAGTCACAGATCTAGGATCAGTATGACCTCCCTATGCTTCAAATCTCACTCGTGAAGGGAATGTGCATATCTGACCTGTGATCAGTTACTCTGGGCAACTTCATCCCACTCCTGACTCGAGTGTTTGGTCGAGACCGAGTTCATAAAAGTTCAAATGGTGAAAGGTCGCTGCAAGACCAAACAGGAATGTGCAATAAAAGTTACAGCTTATTCAAACTCTGCTGATTGGACTGTGGTTTTGTTTCATATATGAGCTAATATCACACCTGGGAGCTTCGTTTGCTGCTACACCTGCAGGTTTTTTTAATGACCCACTTCAGGCTGCTGTGTCCTCTGCATGGCCCCTGCATTGTCCTACTTTCATTTGCTGCAGTCAATAAGACATTGCTTCTACCATCCTCAGTGAGGACAGACTATAATCATACGTCCTCTACTCTTGGGCTTTTCAGATGGCCTCCAGCTCGATGGAACACAGTGTTCCCTTTGTGTGTGGAGTGGTCTCCCTAATCTGAAACAGGCGCCTGCAAGTGGATGTGTTAAAGAAAGCGTGTGCATGGGTCATGCTGAGAGATTAGGGTAGGACTCCAACTGGACATAGTATTCAGGGTGTTTTGTGAAGGTTAAATAAGTTGAACGTCCAGACAATACACATCCTAAAGGAAAATGCTTTTCCATCAATATATAAACAACATTTTTCACCATTGCTGGGATTTGGAAACATCACAAGATTGGAGTCCAATATGGGAAGGAATACAAACCTCCAGTTTTACCTTAAATTTAAAATCCTGGCCTACTGTAATCTGTCCATTGTAAATAACAATTAGGATTTTGACCTACCTATGTCGGTGTGCAGGGTGTTTAAAACAAGTGAGAAATAAGACAACTTGATTTTCGTCTAGTGAAAGGTTTTTTTTCTTGTGCAGTGATATGGTGTATTTGAAGATAATGTCACCTGATCGAGCAGATTAAACAAGCTGATATTCGTTGGAGGTACCTGGATTGAACTCCCTCCAGTGACAAATAAGTGGTAGGATTTTCACAGTAAACATTTTGACATGTCACAGTTGGGGGGGGGGGGGGGGGGAACACAAATTTAAATGATAAAATGAATGGCAGCTGAATTTCCTTTATCCACATTAGTTCCTGGTATTGTGCCTGCTGGCTCACTGGGACGCTTAAATATAATAGGGCCATTGTTAATGTGATTGGTAACACCTGTGATTTCTTTGTGGCTATGACAAGTCAGAATGTCTGCTGTAAAAAAGGCCTATATAGTCCTGTTTCATCACAGTATTCTTCTGTCTTTTGTACTATTTAACATTATTTCAGGGATTACATTTGCTTAAATGCCATCAGAATAGATCCTATCAGAGATATGACAGCTTGACTCATCATGGCTTACACTCAGACACTTAAATGAAATGGAGGCATCATTAAAGTTATTACTAACACCTGTGTTTTTCCTGCAAGGACAAGTTAAGATGTCTGCTGTGAAGCAGTGTTGAGCATTTTGGGAAACATGCTTGTCCCCTTTATTACCGAGAGTTAGATGAGAAGACTGATACCACTCTCACATCTGTACACTAAATATGAAGCTACAGCAGTCAGTCGGTTATCTTAGCTTAGCATAAAGAGTGATAAAGAGCTCACATGATCCCAGCAGCACCTCTAAAGCTCACTAACTAACACGTTATATCTTGTTTGTGTTCAAAAGCTGAAGCGTAGAGATGACTTGGCCTTACAGGGGCTGAAGTAAGATCATGTAAACTGACAAACTGATTCAGTCCTTGTCAGGACCGACACTCATATCTGCTGAACTAGGCACATTTTCAAAAATTAAATGAACGGGCATACACCCGCCCTTACACACACACACACACACACACACACACACACACTGCTGCTGCATCATCATCATTGCTGACATATCCCAGTTAATTGATCCCTGAGCACTCGTTTTTGTCTAGTTGATTTGGTTTCCCCGCTGCTCATTAGGGCGGGAGAGAGACAGAGCAGTGTACGGATCAGAGAGAGTGAGCAGGATATTGATGACACCATTCTGAATACTCTGAGGACAACGGGGCAAGCAAAGAAGCTTCATTTTACTCATTAGTTAGCACACCAAAAAAAGCCAGTTCTGTGTGTTTTGTGCGTGTATGTGTTTGAGTGCACTCCTGCTCGAATGGAGGCTACAGACAAGAAGATTCATTATTCAATTGTGAGACAAGACTCAGTCCCCTGAAGGTAACCTTGACACAGAAAACATCCAAAACAGCTCCGGGAGACAGAAAACAAAACAGGAGGCAGAGTGAGGCGAGAGAGCAAGCTAAGGGGAAGGTGACCGTGACTGTGTTTATATTTTCAGCTTATTGTTTTTATTCCAATCCCCCCCCCCCCCCCCCCAAGAGGAAGCTGTTTTTGTGATTTGCAAAAGCAATGATGAAATGGCGACACACCAAACTGAGAGATGCGAGCATATGGCACCTGTCTTGATGGGGCAAGCTTAGTCGGAATGAGATTTTAATAGGAGTGAGGAAATGGGGATGAGCTGTTTTATATGGGTGGTGTTGTACCTGGAGTTTTATTCAGGATTATGGATGTAGTGGTAAAACCTCCTCAACGAAATCTAGCCACGTTTGTTTCTGCGGAATAGTTTGCCTTCCTTCTCAAAAAAGAACATACATCTCAGTGATAAAGTCAGACGATTCATCACTGCAACTAGTAGCACACTGGGGTGTAAGATAAAGATAGGTGTTTTTAAGTTAAACAGCTTAGAAGGGTGGCTGTTTACACATGTTTTCATTTACCAGTCATTACACAAAAAGTGGCCTGCAAGGCGGGTATGGTTTTCTGTGAATATACAATGTATTGTTTTAAGCAATTTGTCATGATGATAGCTAATCTCTTAATTGAATGTTTTGTATGTTTAATAATAATAATAATTTACAGCAGGTACCTTTAACACAGTCTTTTAATTGAACCACTACCTGTTACCTTTACTGTTTGTCTAATACAAAACACTTGTGACGCTTGCATTGTTGGTTAGAAAAGGTTATCCCCTCCATGTGCATATAACAAACTAAAAAGAACATAGCTACTTGTGATGTTTTATTTCCAGTTCACGCTTTTTCAGGCAGTTCATCAGAACTTGAATACCATTTGTAGTTTCATCACTATCTTCATAAAAGTCAAGTAACTTGTACCGTGCTCCATCAGACAAAATGTCTCACGCACACTGAAAACAGTTTCCCTTGTTTTAGGCGACAGTGTCAACAGAGTAAAACACAGACTCACCTTCGGTTGGGGATAGATCTTTCAGGATGTCCCGCACAGTCTTTGGTCCTAAAACATTTATTGTGATCATCTCAGCTTTCGTTCTTATCAAGTTCACCTTCTTCAAAACGTTTGAGTAATGAAACAACGCACCACTTAGCTTAACAAGACAGTCGGTGCTGTTGTAGCTGAGTCTATTTTTGAGAGTGTGATACACATACACATATATCAATTTCCACAGTAGTTACATTTAACGTTACTTAACGTATACTGAGGTGCGGGGGGGGGGCTGTGATTGGATGATGGCAGGTGTCGTGGTCATTGTCGAGTGTCGTGATCAGCACTACTGCTGTTGCTGTTGTATCAGCGCAGTAGTCAAAAAACGGGACAAGAGAGGTCACGTATGGGACAAATCAATTTAGGTCTGATATAAGGGACATCACAGCTAATATGGGACAGGTGTCAACCTTAGTTAGCTAACGGTATGGCCACTATAGGCTACTGGTCGTAACAGACTTAAGTAAGGTTGTAGCATCAAAACCCCTGATTGTATTATATTATGTAAAGTTGCATTTTGTGTTGTTTCTTTTTTTTTTAGAAGTTACATAGTCCCACTTTATTGTGTAGTCTGTCAGAAAATAACTGTATAATTGTATAAATGAAATTAGTCAGAGAAACAAATCCTCTTATTCAAGGAGATGGAGCTAGCAAATCTTAGCTGGAAAACACCATTTTGCTTGATCAATGAAAAATTATTATTACTGTACCCATCTGAAAACTTTTTGTGGTCATGCCAATAAAGACTTTTCTCATAAATCTTTTCTCAGAAGCAGAGGTGAAAAAAGCATGACCCTGTAACGCTGTTCTCATAGTGCCTCGTACTAACGTTTAACATTGGTTCTCCTATCCTTAAGCAAGTAGCTTTAGTTGCCAAACCTTAACCACAGAGATAGCGGATCAAAACACCTGTATGAATGAATTTTGTTTTGGTAAAATGTGTTTTATTTGAACGCAGATTATGATCTTATCATTTCAGTACTACTGGGAAACAACAAAGGGATAGTGACCCTCCATGAGGCAAGCGGAGACACTGAAAGAGGGAGACTGTGATAAACAAAAAGAGATCTAGCAAGACAGTGAAATAAGGCCACCCAGCCTGTGGAGCAGGGGGTTAGCTTCTCCTCTCCATCTGAATTATATTAACTTCATTAGATAAGATGTGATTTGTGAGTCTCCCATTTCCTCTGCCCCGTCCTCGCTGTCACACACAATGCCGAGGAGAGTTCCCAGAATGTCTCCATATGAGATCAACCTTGTCGAGAGCTTGCCAGAGGACTCCTCCTGCTTGCAGAACACGCGAACATACACCCCATTTGATACACGCACACATCGAACGCTCTCAAGCACAGCGGCACTTGCTGTTCAATTGGTGGCAGAGCTAATGTCAAGAGGATCAGTAGAGGCAGGAAAGGGCTGTAAAAGGGTTCGAGAAGAAAAACCTGAATGGCCAGAAACCTCTAGGGAGAGGCCTTCAAAAAGCCTGTGTTGAATTATAGATCCTACCTCCCTCCCCATACAAAAGTCAATACATATTGTATATAGCTGTCTTTCAAAATGCATGAAATACTGGAGGTGCTTTTCCATCGATGATATATGGATCACATATAAAATATTATCTGTTGATCATGCTAATTCAAACAGGATGATATACAATGATGCTTTGTTGGACAAACGTGTCTCAGAGTAGGAGCTGGAGGATGCTCCGCCTCCTCAGGAGGATGAGAAATAATAGGACACACTGTGTGCATGAGCGATGCAATAGCTGAGATGTGATTTCATTCTATACAGGCTGCATGCATTATGCATCCATGCCCTATACACGGGTGTCTCACTTGGAAATATGGTGTTAAATAATGAATTTGTTTTCCCTGTTGATACACAGATGTAT